TTTCCAGGCTGAACAGCCCCAACTTCCTCAGCCTATCTCCACACAGGAGGTGCTCCAGTCCCCTGATCATCCTCGTGGCCTCCTTTGGACTTGCTTCAGCAGTTCCGTGTCCTTTTGATGTTGAGGACACCAGAACTAATCAGTGAAGAAAAAATAGTTACTGCCAGAAAGTGATTCAGGTTACCCCAGATTAGCTGGGATTCAGGTACCTGCAGCTTTCATGGTCCTGTGGGCGTTTCTGCTGACTGTAGGGGGAGTTGGGTGTAGGTAAACTCCTAATTTAAGCAGTTTAAAGTTTGAAGTGCCTGATGTCAGGCGAGATGGATTTGTGGGCTCGGAGCAGTGATTTCTCATGTACCTCACTAAGCTTTCCTGGAGCTGCTTGACTGCAGATATGTTGTTTAATAAGGGAAGGAGAAACCTGTGGGAAAACAAAGCCTATCAATAATCACACGCGCTTACATCTGGCAGTAAAGTTCTGCGGAAAAAAAATCAGTGCAGCAGCTTGTTGCCTTTGAAACTTAATGCTATTAAAATGGTCAACATGAAGTTTCTATTTTTAAAATAGCAGTTGAAAGAAATGTGCAAGATTAATAAGCAGCTAAATTGAAACCACGTTGCTTCATAGGTAATACAGACAAACACGGAGTTAATGGGGAAGCATTCTTGGGGAGAGCTATGTGTGTTCTCCACTGCTTGTTTGGGTTTTATTTTGTCTTTCTTAGAAAGCAGAAGGGGGTAGAAATACCAGCCTCTTAAATCTTTTATTTCCCTTTTTAGACTGTTGTTCAGTTGAGTTTATTAAGCTTTCTGAAACAGCAGCCTATGACAAGTAAAAAGACACCATCTACCACCCCAGTGCACAAGGAGCTGCTAATATAAGCCGTTCCCCAGGAGAAGTGGACAACAGGGCTGCCTGTGGAAAGCCTTAAAGACAAACAAGATGTGTAGCAATCGTGTAGGAAGTGATGACAAGGAGATTGGAGTACTGAGCTATTTACTTGGAAGGGAGAAGCCATCTGACACAGGTGTCCAAGACAGCTGTAGGTCTCTGTCTCTATTGATACTGTTGGAGCAGTTCAACTTAGAATAGACAGTTCTCATCTAGCTAAGAAGCAGGAGGGAGGAGCTGCACCTCCAAGGAAGTGTTTAGAAAAGCAGCTGCAGATAGAATTTGTTCCAGGATGACCACAGTCTCATGCTAATAACCGTAATTGCCAGCCTTGAGCTTTGGGTAGACTCTAGTTCTTGATATTAGATGAGAAGAAGGGAGTTTAAGCAGGGAAGTAGGGTGTTGGTAGGTTGGAGAAGCACTTCAGTTTCATTGGCACTATGGCCATTTACACAATGTCAAGATCTGCCCCACTGTCTGCAATAATCCGTCCCAGCAGCAGAGCTGTCCCATATGGCTTTTATTTTTCCCCAGATCATTACTGGGATTTTTTAAGTCCAAAGGGAACTGGCTGTGTGGTAATAACACAAGAATGAGCACTGGAGGACCTTGTTAGCAGCCCGAAGGAGAATATGCAGATACTTGTTCATGAATTGTTAGCAGAAGCAGTGAATGCTCCCAGCAGGAGCTGTGTATGGAATAACCTGCCGTGAATAAACTGCACAGAACATCCAATGTGTACTTACATAAGGGAGACGTCTGTAAAATATTAAAGTAATAAATGTATATATGTACGTTCACATGTGCGTTATTACCTTACACTAATACTCAAATGTGGGCTCTGTATTTCATTATGAGTTTGAATCAAAATGTATCTTTACAGGGTTGAATTAAATGTGGTATTAAGGCATGATCAACAGCACGCTGGAGATAGCAGGGTGCTTTCCATTAGCTGTGGCTTGCATTAGTGAAATGCCCCAAGACACTCACCGTGCTCAAAAACATCAGTTAGAGATGGTTCAAGCCTTGCACCCTTGCCATTGGCACCATGGCATAATGAATGAGCAGAGAAGAGCAGACCTGTCCGTGCAGTGAGGGGGACAGAGATGAGAAAAGAGCCATGGATTTGTTGGAAGAGAAGGACAAGATAAAGCCAGGGCAATTTTCAGCTCTCAGTCAACTCCAGTGATGGCCTCAGCCTCCTTCCTTGCCAGTAAGACCCGTAGATGTGCTTCACAGGGCCAGGTTTCTGGCTGCTCCTCCAAGGATGCTCTCACAAGCTTTGGGTCTTAGATTTGTGGTCACAGTTTGTGTTTTATGAATCTCATTTCTTTGATGATGGAGATTAGTAAGAGGGATGGAGTCACTGATGAGAACCTTGAGGGAGGCCATGAATATTTAGGGAGGGATTTTCTTGTGTTTAAGAACGAAACACCAAAATCTTTCCAGCTTACTGTTATGATTGCTCTGTTTTGGTGTATGAACAGGTTACATAAGTTGCAAAGCTTCAATAACTTAGCGTCTGCAGAGCGGAAGATGGGTACAGACTGCCCAGTGGTAGCACAGGTAATGAAATCCTTCTTTCCTGGCCAAAGTTGTGTATTAAAGCAAACCAAAACTCTCACTATTCTGAATGATAGAGGAAGAAAACCCAGTTGTTTCTCATTGAACAGATGTCTCATTTTCACAGGTCATAGGACCTCAGACTGGTTTGGGTTGGAAGGGACCTGAAAGCTCATCCAGTTGCAACCCCCTGCCACGGGCAGGGACACCTGCCACTAAACCAGGTTGCTCCAAACCCCGTCCAACCTGGCATTCAATGCTGACCTACTCAAGCACTTTGGACTCTCAAAGTGGTTGTTTAGGTGTTATGTGTCATTGTTGGAGTTGATGGAAACTAGAATTTCTCTATTGAAGTATAACCCGAAGTCTCCAAATGAGTTTTCATATCCCATAGGATATCAGGTTACTCACTGATTTTGGAATGAGTTGGGCACTTGCTGTGCAGGGAATATTCTGGGAAGTTTTACTTTGGAAGCATCAAAACATTTTGGTCCTGAAACTTGAAAATATGGCATTCAAGAACAGTGATTTTACATGATCGTGTGTAACAGTGTAATACGGAATAGGGTGTAACAGTATGCACACATGGTATGTATTAACATTTGTTTTCATGTAATGTATGTATAAGTTGAAACAATGAGATACAGTGATACGGTGAGAATAAAACACAGGAGTCAAGATTAGATTGGGAAGCTGAAACATTCAGCTGAAGTCAGGTTCTGTAGAACAATTTGGTTTCCAAAAAGAAGGGTATTTATTATGTAAAACTCCAACATCAAACTGCTCCTAGCTTTCAACCAAGTTTCATTAGAATAAGTGAAACCAGCGATGCCCAACAATTTCCACTGTGGCAGCCCCTAATGCTGTTAAACTTTTACCATGCGTGCTGAAATCGTACATGCTGAGGTCTGCTTCAGGCTGAATTGCCTTGGAAATGATCAGCAGAAATGCTTCAGCAGTTTCTGACACTGAGCAGAGGGAAGAATACATTATTTTGCTCACATTAAAATCTGTTACAGCTGTTTTGGAGGAAAGCCTTAAAAAGGACTGGAAAACAAGGCACCGAGATGGACTTTTTGCCTCCCATGTGTCTCTCAAGGTGTGAATTTGTTCACATGGTGTCTGTGTTAGAGCTCAGCAGCTAAACTCAAGGAGGGTTTGACTCGTATCTGTTTCTTTTCCATCACTTTTACTGGTCAAATACGTAGGGAATGTTTGGAAGGAAGCGTAGCTGCAGGTACCCTGTGCTCTTGATTGATCTCATTAGTTAATTATTCCTTTTCTACTAAGGAAAAGCCAGCTGGTGTGCAGTTTGATGAGTGGGACATGTGCCTACGACCTCAAGTCCAAGTTCTAATGCAGGCTTGGTGAGACGATGCTCTCCTTGTTGCCAAAGAGGAGCCAGCGGTGCCAGAGATGTAATCAGGTGGTGACACCTAGGGCTAGCGGAGATGTTTGTGAACATGGAAAAAGTAGTTCTCCTGGCTCTCCCAGCCAAACGCCTGGCCAGAAGTCAGGTTTCAATTAGAAGCAGACCTGAAGTATGTTTGCCTTAATGACAGATCCATCAGCTGAAGCGCAGATACTCTAACGAGAATGTATGTGATGAGGTTATGTGCGTGCTGCTAAGTCATTTGACAGAGGTGCTTACTGGAGTTTGGTTAATGAAGATGGATGAGCTCTGCTGGCTGAGAAGTGGCATCAGTGAACCCAGATTTCTGATAGAAAGTAAGATTAATTTAAGATTTAAATTGAAGATTGCTATAGGACAAGGGAAACAGCCTCCTCAAGCTGCACCAGGGCAGGTTTAGATGGAGCTGAGGAACAATTCCTTCCCCAGAGGGTGCTCAGGCATTGGAACAGGCTGCCCAGGGCAGGGCTGCAGTCACCGTCCCTGCAAGTGTTCACACACTGTGGAGATGAGGCCTCAGTGCCATGGGTTAGTGGTGGCCTTGGCAGTGCTGGGGTAAAAGTTGGACTTGGTGATCTTAAAGGTCTTTTCCAACCTGGTTGTTTCTATGATTCTATGTTACTGGCTCCAGCAGCCCCTCTACAAGGCACTGCTGCATGCAGTGCCTGCAGAGATGTAACAGAGTCAATAACACTGAGATTCTTTTAATTAATTCCTTCATTTTGGTGGAAATTACTGGAATCTCCTATTTCCGACAGGTAAAAATACTTGGTTTGGTTTATGTTTGTTTGCCATTTTTACCTTAATGGACAGAACTAGTTGATATCAATAGGAAAATACTTCATTGTCTGAAACCCGATTTCTTCAACCCAGCCTCCCTTGTGGTAATCTGGTGCCATCCAAGTGTGAGCTCCTTTCTACAATTCATCCTCTTGAAGGGAGGATGATCTGAGCTCTCCTTCCTTTTTCATCTGGTCCTGAGTTTGAACACATCAGAGCTAACTTTCTTCTCTTTGCCTCACGTATTGTCCCCAGGGGCCTGTCACCTCTGCGCGGGCTCTACCTGAGGAGTGGAATGTAACCTGGTTGTCCCGGGCAGGCTGCTAATTACAGCTTTAATTTGATTGTGTTTAGGAGGAGACAGATATCCAGCCTTTTCTTACTTGTAACTATGGATCTGAAGAAAGGCATGATAGCAGATAAGGTGTGCTGACAGACAGGATGGCCCCATGGCAACTTGCCCATCAGGTGAGTAAAACCTGCTATTGATGAGCCCTATGAAAGGATGACTGTTGCTATAATGATACATGTGGATAAATACAGCTCTGTGTCCACATACATATGCACCCATTACATACACACACATGTATGTGTTTCTATGTGTTATTAACAGAATCAATTCCAGAAAGAGCTTAGAAAAGAGGAGAAAAGGTGTGGTTTATATTATTCCTGTGCGTACACTTGCTAACATAATACATGCTTCATTTCCTCTGGGGACTTCTTAAAGAAGTTACTAATGCATAAGCAGTGCAACTTAAACCCAGCTGGAATCCAAATAGTTTCTTACAGTGCCTACAGTTTTGTGATAAGCAAAACTATTGCACTTTGAAGGAGCAGAAATGATCTATGATTGTACATGAAATGAGCTGTTATTGTACAGTAAGAAAATAAAAGCAAAGGCCTATGAAATACTGTGGAAGTTCTGTTCCTTTTGCAAATGGGAAGCTGTGGTTTTATTAGTCACAAACGGTTGCAGCCCCATTGCTTTGAAAGGGAAACAGCTGATTTCTATCAGTGGAAGATCTGTCTTTGAGTTGTGGATGTTTTCTTCAGGGTTCTTGGACCACAGCACATTCGAAATCACTGTGGTAGATTTACCATAAATATTCAGGTTATGTGGTGCGTTATTCCTTGAGTAATCCCATTAATTTTAGAGGCTTAAAAGTCCTCAAGAGGACAGATTCCCCTGGAAAGAGGAAGAGCTGATCAATCCGGAGTTATGGACTCTTACCACAGCCTGCTTTCCAGTGTGGTGATGAACTTCATTGCTGCAGCATCAGCTCTGCTCCTTGTTCCATGCACTATTATTTGCCAACCGTACTGGGTTGAATACAGCACCTCCTGAAACTGATAGGAGCCTTTCCCCTGACTTCAACAGGCATTGGGTGTTTAGGGATCTTGAACTAGATCAAATAGCAGCTATTAATGGAGCCTGGCCTTCTTCCAGCTTTACTTGTTGCCTGTAGTGCTTATACAATCTGCTTGGCATATAATTTTCTCTCATTTCATAAAAGAGAAAGAGAATGATTCAGAGCTGTGCTATGCCACTTGGTAGTTTTGTTTGTCTATTGTCACTTACCTTTGTATTCAAAGAAGATAAATGCAACAGCCACCTAGTTACTGACCCTTTCTACATGTGTTTATGTATATGAAGGCTGCTATTACATTTATGTGACTGCCCCAAATGATCAGGAAAGTTCAAAGCCATGCTCATGCTCTCTCAAAGTACTCATTTTTCAATACTGGGACAGATGTTTGGGGCTGTTGGAAGAAGAACCACAAAACCTGGGACAAAGGAAAGGTCCAGTGTTGGTGCTGAGGGTGTTTCAGAAATGGAGCTGGTTGAAATAGTCCCAGTTTTAAGAGTAATTTAAATATTGGGCACAGGAAAAAGGTAATAAAGACAATAACAGCAAAAAGTATTTCAGTTAAGTAGATTGTATGTTCCTCCACTCTGTTAAGAGTTGAAGAGCAGGGATGCAGTCGATGAGGAGCCTCCCAGTGTCACAGGTGCATGAGTTTGGTATTGCAGATGCCGTGCGTGTTTTCTGCACTACTGATTGAAGAAGGCACGAAGACATCCTCCAAAGTTTGGTAGCTCTCATCACACGAAGCGTTTTCTCCCATTTCTCTCTATTTCCAACAGCACTTTGTCCTGCTTTCTGCTTTTTCCCTCTGGTTCTTTGAATGAAACAGGTGCTTCACAGAATGACTTGAGTGCTTCCAGCTCTAATCGCTGTCTCTCACAAATGGATCTATTGTGCTGTCTGATGGATTAATAGGGGGTTAGGTGCTTAAAACAACAAACAGTGAGTGCAAACAGTAGGAAGGAAGGGGGAAGGAGTAAAGCTGCGTGCGGCTGATGAATGAGATGAAGTCATTTATTTAGCAGGGACGATACAGTAGTCAGGAGATACTATGGGAGGAAGGGCTTCTTTTAAGGAAATAATGTATTACGCCACCAAGGACTCGTATTCCACCAGGCATGAAGCAAACCACAGCATATCTTAGTGTCCAGCAAGAAAAGTTCCTTGGTTTTGAAGCCTTGGAGCTCAGGTGCGGTGAAGGAGAATAGGGGCTCATTGTTAAGGCGAGGATCAGCACTCCCTTTTGTTCATTCCCCTGCCCCCCTCTCCTCCTTTGGCACTACAGTAATAATGTCTTGTCCCTCCTAAGACACGCTGGCATACATCACGCTCACTGATGGATGTTCTGTCAGTGAATGTACTAAAATGGTTTGTTTCTGTTGATGTATGTCTCTGTGGACTCCTCTAATGGGAATGTAAATAAATGAACCCTTCACCAGTGATTTCTTTCACTGTAGTCCAGTTTAACCTCTGAGTGCCTCCAAATGCTTTAGTGCCTTACCTTACTGCAGCTTTTGCCTTTTTCTGGAGTTTCCTGGATTCCTTTTGCTGTGTGTGAGGGCAGCTTTATATGGATGCAAGTAATTTATTGAAATTGGCATCACTAAATCAAGACTGAGAAATGAAGACGGGCAGTCAAGAAAGGTGAGGGTTTAATGTCCACTGAGGTAAATGGATTTCTCATGGTTTCCCTGGGAGCTGTAGAGGTGATGATGAGCTCTTGAGATTCATTTCTGTTGTGTGAGACCTGGCTTGTATGCGGTCGTGAATCATTAAACTGGAACGTTTTTGCCATGGCCAGTTCTCACCAGTACATAAACACTACAGGGGTATTTGTCCTCAAGACCCTGGAACTCAAAAGCACTTTCAGAAAATACCCTGAAGGAATATATTTACCCTTAATGATAAACCAAAAATAACTTTCACAGAGAAGATAGGCCCTAATATGCTTATTCCCAGGAGATTTTTTTCACCATAAGTGTGCAGGAAGCAGACGCAGTTTCCGCAGCTCCATTCTAGACTGTAGTGCTTGGACTTGCACAGTTTACCTACTGGCCAAACCCCATTTCTTCAGCTCTCCACTTAAAGAGGCTTCTTTCTGTTCAGCCTGGGGAAGAGAAGCTGTGTTGATACCTCAGAGCAGCTTCCAGTATGTGAAGGGGGTCTGCAAGGGACTCTTCATCAGGGGCTGTAGAGATAGGACAAGGAGTGATGATGGGTTTAAGCTTAAACAGGGGAAGTTCAGGTTAGGTATGAGGAAGAAGTTCTTTACTGTGAGGGTGGTGAGGAGCTGGAACAGGCTGCCTAAAGAAGCGGTGAATGCCCCATCCCTGGCAGTGTTCAAGGCCAGGTTAGATGGGGCATGGAACAACCTGCTCTAGTGGGAGGTGGGGAATTGGAACTGGATGAGCTTAAAGGTCCCTTCCAACCCAAATCATTCTGTGATGCTATGATTTTCTTCCAGAGAAACTTGTACACCAGCAGTAAGGAGGTTCTGGAAATGGAAGGTAACAGGCCTGATGGTGTCAGTGTAATTTCAGTTGTTGCTTGGAAAAATTGCTAAACTGATTGTAGTTTCCTCTCTATTTCCATAATCAGACAAATCAGTGGTGGGATAGGGTATGCTTGCACAGCAGAGAGGGTACATGGCTACAGAAACGCTCACCAAGTGCAGAGCTCTCTCTGATAGTATCTTTGTAACCTTATAACAAGTTCATGTGTTGGGACAAGATACTGTCATATCATCTGTCTGGAGCAGAGACAACTAAAACCAGCCTTTTCCCATTTCAGCCTCTTATATGTAGGAGATGCATATGCCAGATTTTACCAGGAGACCAACTACTGGCATAAATCAGCCTTTCATGAAATGCTTTTGCTAAATCTTACCTGTTCTGGAGTTTTCAATGTGAATATAATCACTAAGGGGGAAAATCATCTTACAATATGCCACTTATTTTTCAGCCTGTGTGCTTGCTGACCCTGCTATTTAAAAGCTGTATCCTAGAATAGGGAACTTTCTATTCCCCCGCCCCCTTCTCCTATGTATTTATTGTAGTGGAAATGTAAGAACTTGACTGAATGGTTGACTCTGAGGACACTGGAACAGAGCATCCAGTATCTCTATATCATTCCTTCGTTATTTATGGTTGCAGCATCGTAGCGTGCAGCACCAGATGTGAGTAAGAAGAAGGAGGGGTGCAAAAGAGAACTTCAAATGACTGTGATGAATAGTTGAAAGTGAACAGAGGGGCTTTTAAAACTCTCTTAAAGAAAGCCTAATGCTCTGCTTCCCTAAGCAGCAGGCTACTGATGATGGAAAAGTCACAGACATACCTGCAGAGATTTGGGAAGCTCTTGTTTCAGGTCTTTATGGCAGCTAAAAAACATTCCTGTGTTCCTGCCAACTTGGTTGGTGTGTCCAGCTTTTCTGCCTTGCATTTTACTCTAGGGACAACATGGAGTGACTTGGATGGTGCCAGCTTCCAAACTGTGTTTATTCTTAGTTAGCTACCCCCACCAAGACCAAGCGCTTCTTGTGCCTGGTATTTTGCCATCAGGATGGGTATGTTGTAAGTGATGTCATGCAGAGGGAGGAATTCTGATGGGAAAAGAGTTTGTTACCAGGACTGTAACCAATGAGACTGAATTATGTGATCATAATCTTCTTGTCCAATGTACCATCAATGTGAAACAGAGGGCTCAAGCACGAGTGCTGAGGAGGACTGCTGTCTCCTGGCTGCATCTGATTTCTGGTGTGGTAACATAACACACCAGGCCCTGAAAGCCCTGACTCTTCTTTGCCTTATTAAAAACAAGTAGTGACATTTTATTTGACAGCTACTACCTGTACATCCCTAATGGCACTCTTGAAATCCACTTAACCTACGACATATCCCCATGGGCATTGTCCCTTATGCCTGGCTTCCTACCATGGTGTGTGTGTAGGGACTGAATAGATGCACTGCGGTGGCTGAATCCTGGAGGTAAGGGTGAGCTTGTTGTGTGGAAATGGAGTCAGTGGGAGCCTTTAGGTATTATGGCATGTGGGCAGCACAGCATGTAAAAAGCAGTGTGTACAATGGCCTGAGCATCAGTGCTGCC